GGGCGTGGAGGGGGGGGGTCAGACTGGGCAGGGGGCGCCCGGTCTCAGGCCGGTGTCCTTGTCCCGCTGGGGGGGGCGCTGCTCTGGCGTAACCCCGCCTCCCCCCACACACACACAGTCCGCCCCCCTCCAGCATCCCTGGCAGTGCCCGGGCTGGTCCCCTCCGTGCTGCGCAGCGCCACTGAGCGATCGCCCCGCTCTCCCCGGCCTTGTAGCCACCCCCTGGGGCTGCCCCGGCACCGGCTTGTCCTGGGCTTCCCTTCTCCGCTGTCTGCTCCCCTTCAGCGGGGGAAAATTTGCCTGCCCGATCCTGCCACATGCCCTGGTTTAGCGCCGTCCCAGGCATTCGCCTGCATGGCTCGTGGGGTGTCGAGAAGTCTTAAATCCGGCTTTCCAGGTTCTGGTGCCATGCTGCTTCGGGAATCCCAAATTCTGGGCACGGACGTGAAATCCCTGTTCTGGTCCACTTGCCCCAAGTTTTAAACCTTTCTTATGTGTATTCCCACTGTCTTTTAATAAGATACTCTGTGGATTCATCTGTGATCCCGAATCTTTGGATTCTTTAGCAGGGGTGTGGAGAAAAGGGAACCAACTTGTCTCTCCTTCCTGCTAGTTCCTGACAGGCCAGAGTTGGGCCTGCTGATCTCGATGCTTTTAATCCCAAGCCATTGGGCCTCTTTTCTGTGCTCTCCCCCCTATTAGTAGTGGCAGGCCAGGGCTGTCTCTTGCCTTCTGCCAAGCTAGTTTGCTAGTGCTATTTGGCGTGAGCCTTCCTTCTCTTGGAGTATTCTGGTTCTGGAAGTATTGGAGTTGTATAGGTAGGTAATTAAGTGATGTTAGTAATTTTTGGACCCCAAATGTTGATGGATTTGATGCCTTAAAATGCCCTGAACTTCAAAACATGCAAGCTAAACACCTTATGAAGTAATTTCTGTAAATCTTGACCTAAAGCTCATTACCTACTTTAGCTGAAGAATGATATGTAGCAAGTGAAGGAGCTGTTTGGGAAACATGCAGGTCTAATCTAAATTGGCTAGAAAATGTATATTCTGGTTTCTCTTTAGATGGTATAAATCTTTTGCCTTTGTTTGGAGGTGGAGAATACAAACTGATTGAGGGAAAACAGGAAGCATTTTTTTCTTTACCCCTTCTAAAAACAGTTGGCTCTTCTTCCCCATGCTTCAGTACAGTTGAAGACTGTCTCAATGTTGCTGTTGTGTAACCGGCCAAAATTAATTGCATTGGCTTTTTGCCTGAAACTAGGCACCAGTTGTATTGGGCAAAGTGTCTGGTATCTGCCAGTGTTTGTTACTATGTCTTGAAGACCATTTTAGCACCATTATATACAGTTTTTTTAAAGTATGGTGACTCTAACTAGCACTTCTCACTGGTAGGGAAACTTTTTCAACAGAAATAATAGTTGACAGCCCTTGTAAGCTGATGGAGTTCTGAGTGAAATGAAGTTTTAATATTGCAGTTCTTGGATTTCAGGGTTTATGGTTCAACAAGTAAACAGTTTTGTGCCATATCTATTTAATCTGAACAGATTTTGAAGAGAAAGCAAATGTTTAAGGTGTCAAACAATACAGTAAGTTAGTGATTTAGTGTGAGCTATTATGCAGTTCTATTTGGGATAAAAGAACAAGATTTTTTTCTGTAAACTCTGTTCCCTAGGAACAGAGTAATAAGGTTCTCCAAGAGGGCCCTTCTCCCTAAGCATAGCTGAAAAATTCTTAGTGCTCTGGATTTATTAAACTTTTTCTCATATGTGGAACATTATCATATTTCTTACATAGTAAATTGTCCCTTTTTTTGCAGACCCCTTTGCTGATGCAACTAAGGGTGACGACTTACTCCCGGCCGGGACTGAGGATTACATTCATATAAGGATCCAGCAGCGAAACGGCAGGAAAACATTAACTACTGTTCAGGGAATTGCAGATGACTATGACAAAAAAAAACTTGTGAAAGCCTTCAAAAAGGTAAAGCTGCTTGCTTGATGTAGAAATCAGAATGTAATACCAATTTCTGAGACTTGAGTATTTTGTTTGGGCTTTTGGCTACATGTCTGCTTCTTTTTCACATTTGGCTAAGAGCCAGCAACAAGTGTCTGGCATCATTGTTGATTTGGCAGACTTAAATCAATGACATAAATGTTCCTTTTAGCTTCAATAGGGGGTGATGCCCCCTGCTTGCTACATAGGCCACCCCTCTGTCCCCCTTTGGTGGTAAGCAAACCCAGCTCTCCCCCACAGGGGGCCACACCAACCCTGGCCACTTCACTCCTGGGCTCTCAGGGGAGCCACCCAACTAAAGCCAGCCCTGGCCTCCCCCCCCTCCCTCTCCCTGGCTGGAGGGGGGCACACCAGGGCTGGCTGCAGCCAGGAGGAAGAGGGTTGGGGCTGAGCTGGGGACGGCACCAGCAGTTCCTTGCTGTGTTGGGGGTCCTGATGCTCTGGGAACGAGAGGGTAACTGCTGCCTCCAGCTACTCCTCCCCTCCACGGTGTGCACACATCTCCATAAGCTGCCTTCGGTGCAGTGTCTCAGTTTTCTCTTCTCGCTCCCCTGCAGGAAGCTGGTGCTGGCGCACTTAACTTTGCGGGGGGGGAGGCGGTTCCAGGCTGGGTCCCAGAGCATCTGGGCCCCCAGTGCAGCGAGGAGCTGCTGCTGCTGCCCCTTGGTCCTCTTTCAGGGGGACCAGGAGCCCAAGCTGCAACGGAGACGGGGTGGGGGGGGGGGGAGAAACCTGAGCCATGGCCCCCTCTTCCCTTTCTGGGGACTCTGAGGCTGGGGGGGCAGGGTGATGTAGAGTGATGTAATGACATCACTCTGTACCCCTGCAGAAAAAACTTTCTTTAATCTATAGAGAGATGGCACAGCAATTTTTGGATTGTAGTGAGAATAAATGTCTAGTTTCCATTTTTAAGAGTTTCATTGGAAACAAATGGCAAATTGGACAGCCCAATCTTACATGTTAATTTCCTGTGCTTGACTTTCCATGTTTTGTTTCTAATATGTCTAGACTTCGGTAGATGGTTAATCTAAGCTACCCATTGAGTTACATTTGTAGTGTAACGCAAGTCAACATATATTAAATGCTCTTACCACACTACACTTCGTTGATGGGAAGAGCAAACTTCAGTCAATGTAGTGGGTCTTCACTGGACCTACTAAATCAACCCTTCCTTGCATTGTTGATCCCCTGGTAATTGTAGACAAGCTCTAAGTGTTTGAGGGCAGTGTGTGGAGGGGATAGGGCGGAGACAGGAAGGGAATGCAGCTTGCCAATTTAGTGTCACCAACTAGCTTCTGTACTGTCTTTGGAAATCAGAATAGTTTAGTTTTAATTTTCTCAGTCAACACAATTGTGGATACTTGCTGCAATAATATCTTAAACAGCTTGTTGTGAAAGTACATAGTAAAGCATAGTAAGATGTCTCACAACACGTTTTCTAGAAATTTGCTTGTAATGGTACTGTGATCGAGCATCCTGAATACGGTGAAGTTATCCAGCTTCAAGGTGACCAGAGAAAGAACATTTGCCAATTCCTCTTAGAGGTGAGTGACATCAGACCATTAGCAGTATTCTAGCGTCCTCTGAAACTAAGGAAGACTTTCATTGTTAATGGTATATTAATTTTTCTTTACATTTAACCAGCTGTTGAACCTATAATACAGTTCTTAATACACTGACCTGAAAGGACAAAACCAGATTCTTACAGTATTGTGATAATGGTGTTGATATGTTCTAGGAATCTAAAGTTTCAAAATGTTCTTGCACTCTGTATTAAATTAACAATTCCCATTCTCTGGGGAAATTTTTGCCTCCAGTTGTAAAAGCAAAAATGTTTGACAAATATAACTGATACTGCACTGGTGCTGTGGAATGGAGGAAAAATAGCTTTTTTTCTTGTTATAAGGCATGTTCTATTAGGTTTTTTTTAAAGCAGTTCAGATCAGAAGGATAAACAGAGTAAAGGATTGAGCTGTTCTACAGTGCTTCTAGTAACCAGGATCCTAAATAAAAATTAAGGCATATAATTTTTTGGCAGACTTCTAGAGAATTCTCTCATTTGATTCCGAAACCTGGAAAATTGCTGTGAATCCTTTATTGTACCAATATCTTTCCCCTTGATGCATGAACTTCCTAGTCATGTCCAATGACTGATGCATCTTTTTATCTGGTGGTGCCTGAATGAGCAAGCTTTAATGAAATTTGTGTTTTTCTTTTGCAGATTGGCATTGTCAAGGAGGAACAGCTGAAAGTTCATGGTTTTTAAAATGTGCATTATCACATGAAGAATTCTGCAGATTTTGTTCTTACTCGAGCTGACTAAACTGAAATGGGTCTTTGCAGTAAATGGACTTGCCACTTAAAGTTTTATTCACATTTGCATGATTACCGAAAACATGTGGTGTATAGACTAGAAACACACAAAAAAATTTCAGTAAGATGGTAATGAAGAACTTTGAATTTTAACACATTTCCAATGGAAACATTTTAGTGCTGATTGTTGAGTTTATGACTTTTCACCTGACTGATTTACATGTTTTTGTTGTATTAAAACCATGTGTATGTGTTGCAGCTTAAAGAAGTCTATTTGTTTTTTTTCCTTGAGTGTTTGGAACACTTAATCAAGCAATAGTTCTGATTTAGTGTGATTAAGCAGCCCTGTGGCAAATTTAGTTTACTGAGCATCAATTAAACTGAGATCTGCATAATAAAGTGTTATCTTATAACTGAAACTAAGTAAATTAGAACTTCACAATCTCTTCATAGTTGATGTATTTGAATACCAATTGGTAGTTCATACAGTGAAGAACTGATCTTCATTTATCACTCTAATCAGTACATTCTGGAATACTAGTCTTAAAGTGAAGAAAACTCTTGCAAGCATTACTGATTGCTTAGAGCAGTGGTCTCCAACCTCTTTAACCACAAGATCACTTTTTCAGTTTAAATGTAATGTAAGATCTACCTCAAACCCACCTACCCTTGCCCTGCTTCCTTCCTACCCCTGCTGCATCCTTCTGAGGCCTTACCTGCTCACTCCATCCCCCTTCCTCCCCAAACCTCATTCACTTTCACCAGGCTGGGGTGCAGGCTCTGGTCTTGGGCCAAGGGGTTTGGAGTGTGGGAAAGGCTCTGGGCTTGGCATTGGAGTCCAGGAGAGGCTTCCGGGTGCAAGCTGTGGGAAGGAGTTTGGGTGCAGGAGAAGGTTCAGGGCTGGGACAGATTCAGGAAGCAGGCTCTGGCTGGGCCCTCTTTAACTGAGAGAACCCCACTGCTCCACCACCAAGCAGCTAAGGCAGGCTTACTCCTGCCTTGGTCCTACACCACTCCTGGAAGCAACTGACATGTACACCAATGGCTCCATGGCACCATGTGCTGCCCCTTGTTTACACACACAGCCCACAGCTTCTATGGACATGGCTCCCTGTTGATCAATGGGAGTTGCAGGAGTGATGTTTGCAGGCAGGAACAGCATGAGGAGACCCTGTACTCTGCCTTTTGCAGGGACATGCCATCCATGGCCAGGAGCAGCAATTACAATAGGGATAGTGACTCCAGTCACCACAAGGTAGGCATTTTAGAGCTCACTACTCAAAATAATTAAATTTAAGTGTAAGAGAAATAAAAATTATGAAATGCACAGACCAATCAACCCACTTTGCAAGTAGTAACAACTGCCACCTCCCCTCCCCTGCTATGTGTTGGGTCAGGAGGCGAGTGAAGGATGGACTGTGTTTGTGAGAATGACAGACTGTGTGAGAGTGACAAACTTGCATTACCAAGCTTCCACCATCCCCTTCTCTTCGTGTGGAGATAGGATACAGGAGTAGGGAATACCCTCCTCCCTCCCATATGCTGCACAACAAGCAGGAGGCCATCTAGTTTTCATTGAAACTTAATTAAAGGGGGTTCAGTTTATATCTGTTCATATAAAAGTTTCCTATTGAATACACAGAGATCAAATCCTTTCTTGGGGAAGACGTGTATCTTCAGAGTAAGTTCCTCAGATATGTTGAATCAGAATATGACAGTTGTAGCTGAAGGCAATATGTCTTCTGTTCTGCAGCATCACATCTCCACACCAAGTGTACAAAAATATTTGGCTGGCTTAAGCTTCCATGTACAAACTTTAGGATTATCAGGAAGTGACTATCAAGTACAGTTTGTAGGAGCTGCAGAGCTATACCAACTACTCATCAGGGATGCAAGTTAGTTTGAAAAGCAAGCCCTTGAGGATGAAATAATGTTGGATTGGTGCAGGTCTTTAACTCATTTCCACCAGCCTACATCAGATATCTTGCAGTTGAGGCTAATAAGTAGGGTTAGGGATCTGCATTCTAACTAAATGATAGTTTTGAATTATATTGGCTAGTGTGGGGGATGGGGGGAGGAGGGATCCTACTTTTAGTGATTTCATTTTGGGGTGAAGGGGGAGGGGAGGGGAGATACATTTACTCTAGTAGACAGCACAACTTTTCCAGGCTAGCTACATCACTATCTACTGTAGACATGGGCTGGTAAAGAATTATTAGCAAACCTAAAAGTCATTTTATATTCTCCAGGGTATGATCTTGACTGTTGTGTTCCTTTAATGCCCCAACCTGAGGTACCTTTTACTGTACACTTATAAACTATGAGAGATGCTCTCAGCCTCTAGCATGTAAAAATTACTACTAGCCGAATTATGAGAATTCTAGACAGCCACCTCTGAATTACAGTACAGCACTACACCAGAACATTCCCATTTCTGGACTTGTTCTCATTTTGTATTGTCCAGGTCTTTCTTGGACAACACAAGCTCATTTTTAATAGAAAAGGATATGCACAAATCCTATAATTCCAAATGGAAATTTCAAAACTTTCAAAGCAAAAGTTTTAACAATTACAGTAAGATTTTAAGTGATTACAAGAAATGAAGCATAAGTCATTTTTTTTTTTGCAAGAAAATAAATGGTATGCCACCATCTAGAAAAGTACAATATCATGCTTGTGCAATTTACTACCTGGATGAGTTTCAGCCATGTCCACCCACCCCCCCATCTGATTTTCCTTTCCTTGTGTAGCAGATGGTACAGACAGAGAAAGAGGGGAGAAGATGATTTGTGTTCTCTGTTCTCGCTTATTTTCCTCTTGAACCTCGAGGAAAGCTGGGGATGATTTTCAAAGAGAGAGGCTGTTTTCATAAGAATCTTCAGCTGTTCCTTGACTAAGCTGTACATTTCTTGCTTACACTCTTCTTCCTGCCAATGAATGGCTGCTTAACCAAGTGATAGTCCATTTGATTATGTTGACAGCAGGCTAAGGCATCAGTTATGTCTTAGGAACTGATTTGTGCATGCTTTTCTACTTATCTCTCAGTGCTGTCATGCAGAAAAAACTTGGCATTCAATGTAGTCACACTTTACCAGGCCAGAAGTCAAATTATGAGTGCCTAGTGAGGTAGCATTTGAATATACTTTATACAAAAAAAAAAAAAAAAATCAGTCTTGCAGAATGGGTGAACATAGGGATACAGACTGTCTCAGCATGTTAGCCAGATTGTGGCTCCTAGCTGCAGATGGCATTCACTGGATATTTTGAGAACTCTTTACACATAGCGATTAAGACTTTTTATTACCATATTTTTTCCCCTCTGTTTAAAAGCTAGTGTGGCAGAAACAACTTGCTAAGTTTCTATCATCTTGCTAGAAATGTGTGTGCGGTTGGATGACTTCATGAGAATCTGTTTTGACTTCCTATTAAGTGGGGGGGGGAGTAAATAATGGTTTTGCTAAAACTTAAATGACTAAATTTTAATACGGTATTATATGAGAAAATTACACCCATCCCAAAAAGTACAAATTAGGGATATAAACAAGTAGTTGAGTATACTATTAACCCATAAACCAAGATTTATGGGTTAATCTTGACTAGCATCCCCCCCTTGCTGCCTCTGTATCAGCCTCTGTGCCACCTGCCTCCCTCCCCCCGCCTGCCTCTATCAGAGTCAACCATGCATGGGAGGGTGGAGGGGACATCTCGGGCAGAGGGGTGGTCTTAGGCAGAGGCTGCTTCGCAGCAGCAGCCCCTGTGCATGTGGTGTCCGAGGCAGCAGTGCAGGGTGGCCTGTCTGCACAGGGAGCTGGTTTTTAATCTGGCTTTCCTTGTGGACTGGCTCTTGCCTGTTACCCTGTGCTGCTGCCTGTCATACAGAGGCAGCAGCATGAGGTGGCAGGCATTCCCCAGGAATGGGGTCAGAGTGCACTGGCTGCCAGCCCCACCCTCGGGGACTATAAAATAGTTGAGTAACCGATATGAATTCTTGTGGTTACTCAACTATTCTATTACCTGCTATCTAACATCCTTAATACAAATCAATTTCACTGACCTTATTTTTTAAAACTAGACTGGTGACTTGATAAGATTATAACTAGATTTTCATTGGAAATTCAGGATTTATTCCTGTCTTCAAAACAACCTCCACCATGTTTTCATTGTCATGTCTCACTGCAAAAGCAATTTTAAAACTAAGTTAATTGGTGGGACAATTACTGGTGTACTGTCTCTAAATTTCAAAGATTTGTTTGAGAAGTGGAAAGAGTTCAGAAAAACTATTAAAATTATTTGAGGCCTTGAAATAAAGAGCAAGTTGAGTGCCTTGATGGAGTACAACTACCTACGTGTCAAAGATTTAATAGCAGAGAGCTCTTTACTATAAACATAGACTGCGATGGATTCTCAATTTCTAAGTCGTTTAATCAAGGCTGATCTTATAAAAGATGTGCTTATAAAAACGAGAAAATTTGCCATTTTATAAGCATTTATAAAGCTGTCTACACAGCTCCTTTTTGCGCAAAAGCCTCTTGTGCAAAAACGGCCCCTAATTAATTATGCAAATGAAGCGTGGCAATACGCTAATCTGTGCTTCATTTGCATAGACTTTTGCGCAAGAGAGGTGCAGTGTAGACGTAACCTTCGATCAGGGGCTATGCATTTATTTTCTATTATTGGGGGCTATTGTCTCAATAGCTTAGGCTGTAATCTAATGCCAGAAAGAAATAGAAATTGCATTTTTAAACTGGTCAGTTTTAAAATACTAAGGAAACTCCCACAAAACAATTACATCAGCGGCTGGGGATACTCAATTTTCAATACCAGGTTTAACTTTACCCTGTTCTTCCCTGATCAATCTCTGCTATCCTAATTACAGCCTACATACTCCTATCATTGTAAACAAAACACTACATACAGACTTGTATATTCCAAACCCACCATTAAGTAGAGAGAAAACTAGATGCCACTCTTAGGGTATGCCGTTTTTCTGACAAAACTTGAGGAACGTGCACACTGCAATTTTGTTCAGCAAGAAAATCGAAAGAACTGAGGTTTTTTTCCGGCATTGGTAACCTTCATTCTATGAGGATGAAGCCTTTTCGCGAAAAAGGCGTGTGTGGACAGGGAAGAGGGAGTTCTTTCGGAAGAAGAGGAAATATTGCAGTCTTCCAAAAATCTTGTTACCATCTGTGTTTATTTCCAACTCTCCTTCCACTCAAAAACCCAAACAAGCAATTTTTAGTCATTTTCGATGCCATGACATTG